GGCCCGGAGGCCGAGACACTCGCGGCCCGGAGCGGTGAGGTCCCGCAGAGCGGCGCTGCCGAGGCTGCAGTCGTCTCCAGGTCGGACACCAGAGACGAGAAACTAGCCCTGTATCTGGCCGAGGTGGAGCGGCAGGACAAGTACCTGCGACAGAGAAATAAGTACCGGTTTCACATCATTCCCGACGGCAACTGCCTCTACCGAGCGGTGAGCAAGACGGTGTACGGGGACCAGAGCCTGCACCGGGAGCTGCGGGAACAGACGGTGCACTACATCGCTGATCATCTCGACCACTTCAGCCCCCTGATAGAGGGCGACGTGGGGGAGTTTATCATCGCTGCTGCTCAGGACGGGGCATGGGCCGGGTACCCGGAATTGCTGGCCATGGGGCAGATGCTGAATGTGAATATACACTTAACTACTGGAGGGAGGTTGGAGAGCCCCACGGTGTCTACCATGATTCACTACTTGGGCCCTGAGGATTCCTTAAGGCCTAGTATTTGGCTCAGTTGGCTCAGTAATGGACATTATGATGCGGTGTTTGATCACTGCTATCCTAATCCAGAGTATGACAATTGGTGCAAACAGACTCAAGTGCAAAGGAAACGCGATGAAGAACTTGCCAAATCCATGGCCATATCCCTCTCCAAAATGTATATTGAACAAAATGCATGCTCCTGAAGTGTCTGAAAACCTACACCCTGGGAAAAGTGCATACGTAATTTGTGTTTGGAGAATTATATGAACTCTAATCAGGGTAATAGCACTTTTAAACTTCCTGGTAGATTTACTGTAGGTGTATTGCCTTAATCTTTTTTTTTTTCCCCCCCCGAATGTTTTCTCAGAGCTGAAGGTTGCTGGGCACCTAAATGATGTTTCATGATAGCTTTGGGTGATCCTACTGCTATTTATAATTTGCTGTATAAAATTAGCACTACTTAATTTGCAAGCTGATTTCTCACAGTGAAAATTTGTTCATTCCTGGTAATCTATTTTCTATAAAAATGTATTTTTGCACAACATTTAAAAAATTGGTGTAACTTCATGTATGACGTGTTCCATTTTGACAAACAGCTTTCCGGCATAAACCCAGAGAAGTGCTTTATATATGAAGTTTATTATTTTGAACAGAGTTTGTGATTTAGAAGTTATTTTATGTTGTTGAATTTTACAGTTAGATAATTATTTCAAATGAACATTGATGCATTCATGTTACCAGATGATTGGCCCATTCCATTTTGATGAAACAGATTTGTTGTTTTGGAAATCATTATTTTTTTTAGAAATGGTCAACCTTTTAAAGAGAAATTCTTAAGAGAAGATTGTGGGAAGAGTTTTGTTTTGTTTTTTTTTAAGGGGTAGTACCAGCTCTTACTTGAATGAAAGCCTGATATTTGCTGATGGCAGAGTGATTATTCTGTACTCTGGTTGATGTTGAGTAGTTCGGTGCTCTCAGTTTTTATTTATATTTGTCATTTTGTTATAAAAGAATTTTAACATGGTATCAAGCTTTGTGATAAGCCTCCTGCTTTATATAATAATTTCTTGGATTCAACTAAGATTTGAAAACTAATAGGATTGATGCCTCAGACCAACCTCGGCAGTTATTTTATAGCAGGAGAATACTGTCAATATTCTATTCCTTTTAAATTCAAAAGATGAAATAGGATCGCCCTGTATTATGTACAAATAAAAATGTTTGTAAACAGAGCTTGTATGGTTTGCTGGGTCAAACAGTGTTCCCAACCTAAAATCTCTCATTTCCACTTTAACTACTTTTAGTCATATTTATTAAGTAATGCAGTTTGTACTTTTTTATTTTGTAACATTTTGTGATTTTTTTGTACAATACTGTATTTGTACAATAGAGCGATTCTCAGCTGATGGAATGAGTGAATAAAATGCATAATTTTACTTTTACAATGTCTTTTTGGCTAAAGTGATTATAAAGTGATGTCTATAGGAACTTGTATCTACACAATTTTTTTTCATGTGTAAAGATGTCACTTATGAGCTAGGTTTCTCAAGTTCTCACTTGGATAGGATAATCAGTAGTAGTTTCAAAGAATAAGCCTCACATAATTTAAAGGTGGAGTAAGTCAAGAAATTGCTCTCATTATTTCTAATTATAATTTCTATATAAAACTATAGATTTACCTATTGACTAAAGAAAAGGGAAGTGCAAGTATTGTGTTAACCACAATGTCTAATTGAATATCATAGTTCTGTGTTCACTCTCTGCATAGATTTTAATATTTTTAAAGAGTAAGCAAAGCAGTGCCCTAATTTTTATCTGGTCTGGCCATTTGAAATCATGAGAATCTACAAATTTTAAGTTGTGTTATTTCAGATTTAGTTGAGATGGGAGCACCTGTATACATAGTGCGGGGTAGGTGGTTTATTGCAGAAAAAACAGTTTGGGGTTTTTACTTTTCAGTTGATGGTATAGGTGTCACGGTTATAGACACAATTGAGCTTGAGTTCATTGCTTAACTACAGTTTGGGAAGGATGCCTGCCATTGGTCGTCAAGGAAAGACTCAAAGATTTAAACATTAAGTATTCATGCATCGCTGGTTTTTAGGTAAGATAAGGTTTGCTTCATGGCTTCACTATGTAACTTGGTCAGAAAAAAGTTATTTGAGTCATGTGGCTAAGTATGGTTCTTTTTCTCCACTTTAGAGCTTAAAATTTAGCTCTAAATTTAGAGTATAAAATTTGGAGATACTTAAAATTTACACAAATCAAAAGACTCACATTCTATAAGCTCATTGTTGTTTTAAATAGGTTCTTCCGTCTTCTTTTTCAAATGAGGATCCCAAGTCCTTGATTTAGATTCTCAAGGTGATATTTTTAAATAAAGTTAAATAGATCCTAAGATTGTGTTACATGGCAGCATTTTTTTTCTTTTAAGTTTTCTTGCCTAAAAAGACTGCTATATCTTTCTTATCTTTCTATGGCTTAGTTTTTTTGGAGAAGAAATGTAATATTTGTCATTCCCTTATGCTGAATATTCTCTACTACTATGCCAGCATATTCTCTACTACTATGCCAGCATACATGTTAGCAGCAGCATCTTTGGATCACTGAAGACATGAGCAGTGGAAATGTGGTTAACATTTTTAGAAAACAGATTTATAGAACATTTCATAGAGTAGCTAAGAGGCTCAAACCTGAAGGGAACAGTTGCTGCTGTGAGCTAAAGTTTCTTTAGAGTTTATTCCCCAATAAAATATGATGGGGGAGGACAAAATCTATAAGTAAATCCAGTTTGTGTGTGTGTGTGTGTGTGTGTGTGTGTGTGTTTTCAGGTAAATTAGTATAAAAACCATACTGTTGAAAATTTTATTAAAGTGGTACTTAGAGTAAAAAACATACAAATAACCATCGGAGTGAGGTTTTTTGTTTGTTTGTTTGTTTTTTTACCGTTATTTAAAAACTAAAGTATAGCACTTCGACATTTTGGCAAAACTAATTCCTTGAATCTTGTTCATTTTCTACTCTCATTTTCTTCTCTAAGAAAGTATACTCTGTATTTAATTGCACTGAATAGTAAACCACTATTTGATAAGTGGATATATATGTGATACTTGAATTATTTTTCTATACTTGTTCATATGCTTATGAAAAATTTTTCATTAGGCATAAAGCCTTACCCAGAAGCCATATTTTATAGAGGAGAGGAAATGCCTTAGGATCCCTCAAACATCAGAATTGGTTAGCCTCAGTATGGGTAAATATTTCTATGTTGTGATCTTTTCTTCATAATTTTTATACTAAAAAAAGATCTGATTCTCACTATTATTATTTTATGTGTTTTTTTTCT